TCAGCTTTACTCATATCATTGTGGGAAAATTCTTCTAACAGTCCTTCATCACCTTAAATGAAATTGGGTGAATACATCTCATATTAGTGACTTACTGGTAGTCTCGAAACAATACTTAAATGCGAAAAATAATATTTTTATGATTGTGTAATCACACATGAGATAAATCTCATTCACACCCTTTTTAGTCATCCTTATGCCTGAATATACCTAAACATGCATATTCGGCCAGGTTGAGGCACATCTAATAATAAAATTTGAGCCTGCATGTCTTTTACATCGAAAATGGCTGATGACCAATATGTTAGGCAAAGCTAATTTTTGGCCAATTGAAGAAAAAGAATGATACAAATCCCTACATGAGATAACTACAGTTGGCCACAAGGATCTTGAGTAAAGTGTTTTCTATCTAACTTTTTTAGGATAAAAATCCAAGTCGCTTTTCCATATCGTGTATAAAACCACCATACTCAATATTTGTTGCTGTAATTTAGCTAAATTGTCCTCAGCGAAACAAGCGATTTATGACCAGCTAGAGCCAAGTTAGTATACTTCGTCTCCGTCTGCGTTGCTGGTTTAAATTGTTCCCTAAGAGAGACTTGAGCTTAGGGTATGATTTTTGCTGGAAATATTTTTATCTATATAAACACATGAATATACAGACTTAATTTGCACATTCCTGGTTTAATTTGACAGTAAACTGGGGATGCTGTTCATTCAAATCAGATCAAATTGCAAAGGGAGATTGCTAATCAGGTAAGATCAGTATAGGATGGGCCGCATTTTTCCTAGTCAGTCCTCACTACTATGTATTGTTTACTTTCCCTGCTACCCCTCTGTCTCTCCTATTCCAGGCCATCACTTTGGATAATGTTGGGCTTACTCACCTGGCTCAGCTTCTTGATTTGCTACCTTTGCGTTGGCTTGACAGTCTGACAGTTCTACACTCCGAAGCCAAGACTGATCGCTCATCTGAATCTCAGGTAATCGGGAGTACCAATGAAGCTATGAAAACTGGTGGAACCGAAGCTTGGTCACTGACTTCTATCTATCCATACTCGCCATGTATAGCTCTAGACTATGACCGTCTTTCGATTGACCAAAGTGACGACCGAGCTTCGCCTCTGACTCCCAAAATGTTGGCTACAACTAACTGCACTGTTACTACTAGCAGTAATAATGGAATTGATACCCCCAACTATTATCTTCATGACAAATGTGAAAAAAACAGTCGACTTTACGGTGAAGCCAACAATGAAAATGGAGCTAAGGCTAATTGTTTCGGTGCTGGTGCTGGTTGTAATCCCAGTACGGATGACTATACCAACAACATTAATGTTGTTAAGGGATCTGAAAATGCTTTTTCTGGAAATAAAGAAGTTCTCTTTATTGCTGGAGGCCCATGTTCTGACCTTAATGGTGAGTATGAAGGTAAAAGTGCCAGTAATGGAGGCCAAGCTCACTCTGATAAAGAGAATATCGGCAATAAACATTTTTCTCTTGAATTAAATTCATCACATGCCGGCCCCCTTACTCCCGTGTACAAGACCATCAATACAACACCAATTGTTATCTCTGGGCTGGGGTGTAAGGAAAATAAAGGCCACGTTGAAGAAGATGCGGGCAATCCTGATAAAAATGTTAGCAAAATAAATGCTAAGTACACGACAACAAATAAGGACTCTCATAATGGTAACAGCGACAATGTCAAAGACAACAATACCCACAAGCGTAACAACTACGACTCATTCCCTAGGCCTCTCAATACTACTGAGGGCTGCGCTATGACAAGTTGTCGTGATCTATTAGATCAAACTTCAGCCTGTTTTGGCTGTTTGGATCATGTGAGCAATAACCCGGTAGTTCGCAGGTCTGGACAATTGTGGCGGCCATTTATTGCTTGGAGCCTTGGCCAAAATACTTTAGGCCTTAAGGTGCTGGATGGAATCCAAGTAAGTCCTTGAAGTTTTATATTTAGACTTGGCATTTAAATTTCATATACATAGTCATGCAAACAGTTTGAGGCAAAATAAAGAGTACAAACAAAGAGGTGTGACGTCAGATGATGATGAGTATATTTGATAGTGAAGAATATCCTAAAGACCAATGCAATTAGAAAAGAAAATGTCTGAAAGATCTATATAAAATTAATCGAGTGGTCGCATAAAATGGGATGAAGGAGAGCTGACATCCTAGACACATACTAAGAATCCTATGTAAGAATAAAGTCATATCTGATCAAGGGAAGTCACAGTAAAGTCAAAAATATATTTACTAAGATGAATCAGTTTCGTAAAAATCAGCATAAAGGGGTTATATGAAGAGAAGAAAAAGGTGAAAGAGAAGAACAACAAGAAGTGGCAGACTAAGAAGAGTAAAATGATGAAATGAGATGTATTCACTCTATTTCGTCTAAGGTGATGAAGGACTGGTAGTAGAATTTTCCCACAATGATA